TTCTATCATGATGACTAAAATATTTATGATTTTTTTTATAGCATTATCTATATTTTGTAAAAAATTAGTAGTCTTTTTTAAATTTTGCAATTTTTATTAATATGAAAAATTAATAACGATGGTAATTCATTTTATTCATTCATATATAAATCATAATTATTTTTACCAAATTGATATATAATGTTATTATAATATAATTATTGCGTTCATAAAATATAATTTGTTATGAAATAGATTATGAGCAGGGGAAAATTGGGGAAAAATAAGGAATTAAAATTTATAAAAAATATTTTATCGAGTCCTTTCTGCTTTAATTCTACGTCGCTGATGTGGTTTTTTTGAGCCTTTTGGTTTTAAAACAGATAAAGTTTTATCTAATGAATGTAATTTATCTTTGCTTTGACTATTAAGTAAATTATTTAATGTATCATGACAATCTATCGATTCGGGTATTAAATAATTGCGATATTCATTATTTAAAAAATATTCTCCTTTTCCTGAGAAGGATCTTTTAAATTCTTTTTCTTGTAACATTGTGATATCCTTAATTTTTTCGATTAATTCTTTTAAAGGACGTTGTTTCCAGTTTATATATGATTTTAAAACATGGTTCATAGATTCGCAGTTGTTATTTGTCCATAAACAATTTATTATTTTATTTTTTAGGGGAATGTAAACATGTTCATAAATTACTTTTTGAAATTTATTTTTTATATATAGCAAAAAAATATTTAAATTTTCATTATTACAAAAATTGTATAAATCGTTTAATTTTTCATTATATATTTGGTCATTCCGAGAAAATAAAATCCCATTAAAAGAAAAAATATCCTGTATAATTTTTTTAGACATAACAGCATTTACACCTTGTTTTTCCGAAAATATTATATTGTCTTTTAAATGACGTGTGCATATTAAATGAGTATTAAATTTAAATATTTCCTGAATAGGTTTTACTATAGCCTTTTCTTGGTCACTACCAAATATGATATTTTTAATATTTATTTTATTTTTTAAAAATACAGAATGCAAATGAGAGAAAAAGTATGATAAGTGGTCATATCAGAATCTCCATGCAAATATATTGGTCCTAAAAATATAGGGGATTCATCTGTTTTATATCTCTTAACTGCTATATGTTTAAATACTATAGCAGTTAGGTATATCACCCAAATTAAATGTTTTATCAACGCCTAATATACAGAAGTCAGATTGGTTTGACAAAAACTTAATAGTTTTAATAATAAAATGAGTATAACAAATTATCGATGGTGTTTTCTCTTTGATGTGAATTATTGATTGGATAAATGGCGAAATATGTAGATCATTAGTAATTTGTAAAATATTAATCGCAAAATTTAGAGGTACTTTTGTATCTTTTTTAAGTTTATAATTTAAGTTATAAATTTGTTTTAAATTTTTTGGTTTAATTGGGTCTTTTTGAAATATATAATTATTATAAATATTGCGACATGTTTGATTGTCCTTTATTTGATTTCTAATGTTTGATAATAACTGATTTGAAGTCCGTACATAAGGATTTACAATCTTTTTGGAATTCCCATGGCAAGCGGGACCTGGCCATTGTCCTATATATTCAACTAAATATATATCTTTGAAATCGTAATTAGGCTTTTCAATAAAATTAATTTTTAAAATTCGGCGTTTATACTCTTTACTTCTCTTTAAAATACTATAGTATTTATAAAGAACAATTATATTTTTGGTTAAAGGTTGAGGTTCTATTTTTTTAAAAATTCTAGAACCACCTAGATGAGTGTCCTGCCTAAATAGGCCATCTTTAAAAATATACGGACCTTGAACAATATCATTATATATATTATAATATAATTTTCTTGAGCTTGATTTTGAGCCTGTCCATGGCCCACAATCATCTATATATAAATTTTTATTCTTATAATTTGTAAAATTATTATTAGAAATTAAAAAATACATATTATATTTTATACCTAAAGGTATTTCGTGCAATATATTATTGGGAGAAAGCAAAATTTTTATGGATTTTACAATGTTTAAAAAAAACCCATAGTTTGGATGACCTCCTTCGGCTATAATATTGTTTAAAAAAAAAGGTAAAGATTTTAATCGGATATCTTCGCTACATGGTTTTTTTAGAATATTTTCTATCGAAAATGATAAATCTTTTATGATATTGTTGGACAGTTGGGGTTTTTTTGTTAATGTATTAATATAATTATTTGGTATGAGAGATACAAAGTGATTGATTCTAATATTAAATATATCATTTGGACATATGGTAGATGTCCACATGATTAAAATATGAGGCTTTAAACTCTGGCTTACACCCCTGCCATAAAGGATATCGGTAAAAGCCTTTAATGAATTTGATGGGCATTGGTTTGCCAAGAGCAGCACTTAATGCGCATATATGAATTTGCTCAGCACAAACATTTATATTTAGAGCCGAATCGAGTATCTCATAATACTCATTCACCCATATATTTGGATTAATTTTATAGTTTTGGAAAAAATCAGGATGGTTTTTATCATAATATTGAGGATTTATAATTATTTCTATTGCCGTTATCAGTCTTAAAAAAATATGAAATGTTTGTGGTTTATATAACGACATTGAAACCGCCCGGTAAAAGCAATTACCATCAGATTCAATTTCCTGCGGAATATAATTTTCTAAGATTGGAGATTGCGCCATTTGTATAATTTTTTCACTTATAGAATCTTTTGATATTTTCTTTAACGTTATTGGTTGTGGCTCTCTTAATTTATTTTTTTCTATTAAGGCCCTAGCTGGATCTCTTTTTAATCTGCAAAAATAGAAAAAATTAATTTTTTTTCAAGTGATGAATCTTGAGTAAATAAAAAGAACGAAGATAACCCTAAATCAAATAAGATTTTTATAAAATGTAACCATATCAAGGTTTTATTAAAATTGACTAAATAAAATTTCTTGATATCAAATAAAATTGCCAAAATCTTTGATTTCCAATTTGGATGTATGAAAATGTGAGTACTGTCTGAACCCTTGTGCGAATATTCAGAGTCGGCACACAACATTGGGTAAAATTAATATTTATATTAATATTTTTTAAAACAATTCAAAAACCTACCAGTCTAATTTCCTAATAAAAACAGCGATTTGTCAAATTTTATTAAATTATGGCCCTAGAATGATATTATATAGTTCCATATTGTTTTTTTAAATGATGGTCACCAGAACTCCAAATGATAAATATTTTTACGGTGAATTCTTAAACTAAATATAAGATTAATTTTAATAAAAAATTTGTATCTGTTATTTTAACTAAATTAAGTTTTTTCTGGGCACCGAACCTGAATCCCAACCTGGTTCAGATATTTTTTGCAAATAAACTAGAACCCTTTTTTTAATAGGGTCACAGCATGTAACAACCTATGTATCTTTATTTGAATAAAAAGTAAAAACCATAATAAAATAATTGACTATATTTTGTGAATCATTTCATAGGTAAAGAAAATATGAAGAGTAAATGAATATTAACCTTAATATAGCATCCTCCATTGTGAATATGAATTCGAAAAAAAAATTTATGATGTGTAATAAATGATTATTTTGAAGTGAATTGTGATTGATATTATGTTATTTTAATTTTTAACTATTAATACTTTTTGAATCCTTTTGCCGCCTGGCTGGCATCTTAAAATTTGAGTTTTATTTTTTTTAATATTAATAACTTCCGTTTTTTACATATTTTTTTTTCTCATAATAGCATAACTTTCAATTGTATTTCCCTCCCTTTCCTTTTTTTCCCCAAAAGAAATTAAATAATAAAAATATTATTTGTTTCCATCTTTTTTTTCAAAAGTTGAAATCATAATTTTCATCTATTTCTATAAAAATCTATCATGTTTTCTTTCCAAGATGTCACAAATCTATACTTTTTATGTTATCTACTAAATTATAAAGTATCAAAGCTACCAACCGATTTATCAATTCTCATATTTTGAGATTGCCCTATATCGCTTAGAATTAAAACAGAAATAATGCTAAAAAAAATCCTCAAACGTCGAGAATAAATACTCAACTTTCAGAAAATACTGAATATAATTTTTTAGAAATATTTCCGTTATTTTAGCGGCAGAATTATTTTTGAAAATTTAAACAAAAATTATTTGGGAATTTTTTTCCGGTTTTTTTTCAAGGATTTATTTTCCCCTATATTTAATTTAAAACTTAAAAAATGGGTGTATTTGCATCTAGATCCATTTAAAAAGTGTATTTTAACAACTCTGGGGATCATATATATAAAATAGTAGTTTGTATAATTCTTTTTAAATTTGATAATATATTAAACATTTTTAAATATAGAATCGGCTCAAACGGCTTATTGAGCCGTTTTTTACGACTACGGCTCGAGTTCAGGGTCAATAAAACTCGACTAATTAACTATACTACCCTGAACCGGATTCAGAGATTTTTCACTGAACTCTCATCCGAACCCATTTTTTTAGAAGGGGGGTTTACAACTCTGATATATATTGATGAAATATATTCGATATTCTAGAAATATTGGATAATTATGATTATCCTATATAATTTCTTAATACAATAAGGCAAAATTTATTAAACGCATTCAAAAATATTATTTTTATATTTTATAATAAAAAAATTAAAAATATTTAATAGAATATGGCGAAATTTATTAAACACATTCAAAAATAATTTTTTATATTTTATAATAAAAAAATTAAAAATATTTAATAGAATATGGCGAAATTTATTAAACACATTCAAAAATATTATTTTTAAATTTTATAATAAAAAATTTAAAGACGCCATCTAGCGGATAGAATATTATTTCTTTTACTTTAATAAATAAAAAATGTTATGAGCAATTTTAATTTTATAAAAGTATTGAAGCTAAAATATCTAATAGATAATTTTTTACACCTGTCCAAACCTTTATCTTATTTATAAACTAATTAATTCTTAATTAATATTAGGAAAGTGAAAACCCACTGGAAAATGTTTGGAAATTTAATACATAAATATAAGCCGAGCGATATTTATTAATAAAAAATTTATTATGTAATTAGCCGAGCATAATTTAAATAATAAATGATTTATTATGTGGTTAACCGAGCCACATTTCCCAATCGAGCGATATTTACTAGCCGAGCGATATTTAGTAATAAATGATTTATTATGTGGTTAGCCGAGCGATATTTCCCAGTCGAGCGAAATTTAGTTAAATAATTTATCATGTGGTTTGTCGAGCGACATTTACTAGCCGAGCGATATTTAGTAATAAATGATTTATTATGTGGTTAGCCGAGCGATAAATAGACCCACCCGTCTTGATCTCTAAGTCTATAGTATTAGGTATATTGATGAGTAATGTGGGGTCAGGGACTGACTTGCTAGGGAAGATAGTTAGTCCCAATCCTTCCATAGATCTAAGAGACCTAGTTGACCATTTCATGTCGAATTCATTTCCCCCATAGATTAGAATATCGTGTAAGTAGACGTTATATGAGGCTCTCCTGACGGTTTTAGCGCAAGCGTCTAAAATAATGCCCTGTAAACAATATGGGCTAAACGAAGCCCCCATTGGGAGTACTTTATACCGATATTTGATACCTTGGAACCGAACACCGAATAAATGGCAAACCTGGACTGCGAGGGGTATCGAAAAGAAGGCCAATTTGATATCGATTTTACAAGCAAATTTTGCCTTTTCCAGGTTAGATGACATCATAGGGAAAGATTTTTTAGCCGGAACGGGTAGGGGAGGATATTCTTAGAGACCTGAGTAATCACTGATAATTCTGGGAGAGCCGTCTGACTTCGGAATTATATACATTGGGGAGCAGATTTAATCGTTGTCCCCAATTTTGATTACTCTAGCATGTTGCTAAATAATAGGTAGGTAGCTTTCGTCAGATGTATTTACATTGTGATGATGCGGACCTCGATCAGGGTGTCGCAGATGCGCATGTCTGCCTCAGGGGTCGTACACTTGACAAGTTTTTTGCAATGTCTAATTTCATGACGATCCCTGTCATTAGCTTGATATTTAGGCCCTTTGAGGTTCGACGAAAGGCCTTTCCAAAGGCGCATTAGCTTGGCGACTTTATGCTCCGGATTGAGGTTAGCGCGTGAAGTCGGGTTGCTGGGGCCCTAGATCTGGAGGTGGCACTTCTTTGATCCTCCTCATCGTCGTTAGTAGAAGAGACATCTGCATCAATCATAGTTGAACGCGCCAGCGAGGCCGTCCTAGAAGCGTATGACCTGGTGTGAACGAGTTAAAAAATTTTAAAATCTAGCAATAACTTTTATAATTTACTAACTGATCATTTACTCAAAAACAGACAAATTTCGATTTTTTAATTTGGTCAGCATGGTGATAGCATTGGCCATAGCGTCTAAGCTGGGCGGTTGCTGTCGAGCTTGGTTGAGCGGCCGCTTCCTGTAACGGGGTCCTTTCCTGTTCCTGAGTCTGGCGTGAGCAGAATGTTTATTGGTGGTTTCTTTGAAGGTCTTACAATTAAAATTTTGGATAATCAAAATCGGAATATAAGTAAATGGTAAACGAATACAAATAATAATTACAGAAAAGAAAAAACTTGTGTCGTAAATATTTCATTCCATTTATAATATCATCCAGGAATCTATCCTTGGCGTAGCTAGGGGCGGGGAAGGTGGGAGGGGATCGGGTTTGGACCCCCCCCCACCCCATAGCAATTTTTTTAGATTATACGTTCAAAAGACTCAAAAGTGACTTTATATCAAATAAATACCATGAATATTATTTTTCTACCATGAATATTATTTTTCTGGTTTATTTTAAATAACCCATTTTTATTTTTAAATTGATTTCTATAAAAGTATAATAAATTGAAACGTATATCTATAAACGTTATATCAAAATGTGTTATTTTAATTAAAATAAGTGTTGTTAATGGCTCAATTTGAGCCGATATGGCTAACTCAATATATTAGTCAGAAAATTATGCAAGCCTAAAAAATTTTCTCATGGATGATACATAGATTTAGACATTATTTGTCAAATCTCTAGGCTTGAGCAATATTTTTTTGGCTAAAATATTGAGTTAGCTGTTTATAAAAATCGACTCAAATCGAGCCGTTTAACAACACTTATTAAAATGATCAGTAATTTTAGAACTTTTATATTATAAGGAAAATAAATATGATTTTTCGCCCCCCCCCAAGCTTTTATATGTATGGGCCCCCTCTAAGGAAGGTTCCTAGCTACGTTACTGGTCTTATACATTATTTATTATTATATTTAAAAATATCCGTTACATTATATGTATGTTTATAACATTTTTCTATATTATAATATATTGTTGATTCGCAAGACAATCTATACAAACCATTACTAACCTTTATCGAATAATTTTAATTTATATAAACTCTTTAAATATATTATTTTCTAAATTGTCAAAAAATTTATATAATTTGCTAACGCAGTATTGCTACTGCCTGTGATAAACTATCAATAGGACATGTATTGCTGATTATATATAGATTTGATACAAGTTTTAAAGGTCTATTTATTGTGGTAAGATTCCCATTTTTCAACATGCATAATTTAATCTTGGTCCCCTCAATTACATGTAATATTTCAGGGCAATGTGTTCCATAATATGAAGTACGTTTCTTTTTTATGGATGGTTGATCTACTAAACCTTTCCAATTTTCAATTAATTGATCTTCATCATCGGACACATAGGCGTAGCCAGGATTTTCCTAAGGGGTAAAATATTTTTACAATATAGGAGGTTAATTTTAATAAAAAAAATACAAATATGAAATATATTTTTATTAGTTTATAGAAAATATAACAAATTACTTGTATATACATTAATATAAAAGCATGGTAATAATTTATTTCAAACAAGTATAATAAATTTATTTATAAAAAGTAAGTAGACATATAGTTGATTTTCCTCTACTATATAGAATTAGTTACAAAATACTAGGTAAAATTTTACTTTTACAGACATATTTGACGGTTAGAGAATATATCAAGTTAATATTTTAACAAATTTTACTAATCAATGCTTTTGATAATAAATTTAGCATCTATTTGCATTCAATTATTTAACGCCATCTATTTATTTTAAATAAAAAAGGATATTAAAAATTAATTTTCATATTATTCATCCCACAATGTCTTTAAAAGATATTTTCTGATGTCCTTATCAATATTTTATAGTTTTCTGTAAAATATATAATTCGCTAAATTGGTAAAAATTACTTGATTGTCATAAGATAATTGATAAAATTAGATATAACTGTAAATCTACGACATATAATATTCCACTGTTTGTATTGTAATTTAATTTTTTCATTTAATTTATGATTTAATTTTATCAATAGTTTTATAATTATATTTTACTTTTATTAAGATTAATAAATTAAAATTACCCACTTTATAAAATATTATATTTGATATATTATATTATTTCGTAATTTTATGGATCTATTATTAATAATTGTAATACATTTCACTTTTGTCTTAAGACTTATCTTTGGCTTAATTCCATTTCATAAAAAACAATTTTGGTTCACTTTTTTTATATATAAATGCTTTTTTCCAAAAATGTATAAATTATGATGAATAGTTTTTAAAAAAATATCAACTTTTACATTTTTTCTTTCAAATTATTGTTTAAGATATATACAATTTTTGGGGGTCAGGGAGTAAGGGGAGGACTAAGGGGGGTATTTTTTATTAGCTTAAAATGATATTCACAAAAAGTGATAAATTTCTGAGGGGGGGGGGATTTCCCCTTGACATCCCCTTGGATACGCCTATGATCGGACACTTCATTTTCATTTAAAATTTCACTACTAAATTTAGAAATTTGTAAATTGTCTGTTTTTTGTGGTATGATACTTTTTACAGTCCTTTTCCCAATGTAATTATATTAAAGATTTGGGAAGATTCAGCGATAGTAAGCATCACTCTTATCTCATCAAAATGTTTGCAGAAAAATTTATCAATAGGCATAGGTAACATTACGAATTTAAATGTTCTAATTTTCAAATTATTAAAATAACTTCCAACATTTGATGTAGAAGATGTAAAATGTCCATAATTATAATGTGGTAGCATAATACTAGACCATAAAGGATAGGTCTTTAAAAAATTACATAAATTTATAGTTATTTCTGGGTTATAGAAATAATTTTCTTCTTTAAATGTTATGATACATTTAGATATGGATTTATTTTTAATATTTTCTATCCAGCAAATTATGTCACATGATACATTTAAGTCAATGGGTATTCCATCCTCAAGTTCATCTAATATACTAATGTCTAATTCTTCTATTCCAGAGTTTACATTTTTTAGATATTTTTTAGCATTTAGCGTAATGTCAGGACAAATTTCGGTCCCACAAAATTCGCTATTACATACAATAAGGATGGAGTCCGTTAACATTTTCGCCTCTTATAAGGAAACGGATTTTATTAACATAGCAACGAAACGAATATAAAATTCTCTAAATAAACGAGGTTTTTTATATAAACTAGGCCATCTACTTATCAGTTTGATACAATGAGCATAATCTACTCTAATAAATATCCTAGGGGTCTGCAATTTTTGGCCTAATATTATCTTAAATGAATATTCAATATATGATTTAAGATCAATAAAATTTGCTTGCGATCTGGCAACAGCCCCCAATAAAGCTAATGAATGATCAGTTACAACAATTTTTGGTTTTAGCAGCTCGATGCACCCATACATTCAGCCAATGTGAAATGTGGTTAATATCATGGGCTTCTGATAACATCTGAACTACAGGTATTTGCCCAGATTTTACTTTTAAATCGATTACTCCTATGTATAAGAAAATATGCCCAGATGTTTGATCATATGGTCGACTTAATTTTTTTACCAAGGTCCCTATGACATCAATTTGTAGTATGGATACGTTAGTATCTTGGCAAATTAAAAGTTATCATTTGTTCTGGTAACCAGTAGTGCATAAAAAATTTATACAGGATATATTGATTATACTGGGTAAACATGGTTGTGTATATTTTAGATATAATAATTAATTTATTACGCTATCCGATTATGTTAGATTTATTTGAAACAAATTGTCTGCACTTCCGTAGGACATCCAAAGAATATAAAGTACTGGGTTCTAATTCACCATATTTCATAGCATTTGCTTCACGCCAGTTTATAGCTAAATCTGATTGCAATTCCTTAGCCACTTCTTCCCTTTTTATCCCACTTAGTGGTCTTTTATAAATACTATTATGCTATTCACTTTTAAAATTTAATATTTCACATATAAATTTTATGTATATGTTGAGATGACCTGATTAACTTTTTTATATATTTCTTTTTCGTTAATAACTTAACACTAACCTTGCGGACATATTTTCTAATATAAACTCAATAGTTTAAATTAATTTTTCGTTTATATAAATTATTAAATTGATTTTTCGTTTATGTAAATTATTAAAATGATTTTTCTTTATGTAAGTTATTAAATTTTTTCGTCTATGTAAATTATTAAATTGATTTTTCGTTTATATAAATACAAGCTATATGAGCATGAAAATATATTACATTTTTAGTAAAAAAATAATTTTTAAATAAAATAAAATTTTAAAATTTCTTATATGATTGTAATTTGAATTGATGAATAAAATCTCCTAAATTTGTTACACCTATTACCAGTAAACATTATGGTTGCACATTAAATCTAGAAAACTTCATGGTGGCATTTCAGCTACATATTCAAGGAAATCTTATATAAATAAATAAATATGAAACAGATTTTCAATAATAATGTTAATATAAATACTGAATTTCCAATAAACTCAGGCAATGGCGATCTTTCTTTGAGTAGATTCGAAGACATCTTCAAGGATGTTCAGATCTCGGACATCGAAAAAGCAGGATCCTTTACAAGAAGACTACCAGATGAAGAATATATCAAGCTCAAATGGATATGTTCTCTTACCGACTTCATCAATCCATCGATATTGATTGAAAAATTCAGGTTATTACACCCGAGGAAATCTACAAGTTCCAACTTATTATTATTTAACGCTGTACAAGGTAAAAATGAAAGTTACATCAATTGAATAATTAGATTATGCATTTTAAAAAATATGTGTTTGCTAGATGATAGTAGAGTTATTGAAAAATTTCATCAATCAGCAAAAATATTAGGCAGAAAATTACGTTAAAAGAAAACATTACATTAGCAGAAGTTCTTACTTTAAGAGATGATTTTGAGGAGTTAGGATTAAAAGAAAATAGAATTGCTATAGTTGAAAATATTTCTTTAAACGAAAAAACAGAACATGATACAACCGTGAAACATGTAGAAAGGTAAAGAGGTAGGAAAACAGAAGAAAATAAACAGATGGTGAATGGAGACCATGACAAAAGACAAAATTTACAATCTAATTACGATAACAGACAATGATGGACAACAAGAGGCCATGACTTTCAAAGAAATAATTACAACCCTATATAT